ATCTTTAGAAAGACAAGTATTTAGGAACGGAGGGAGTACAAGTAAGTAACTACTCGGGTAACCCGGTTCTTTCTTCCAACAATTTGGAGGCAAATTACTATATATTGTCAGCCGTCATCTGCACTGGATGGCTCAATGGGCAGGCGCATAAGTCGTCGCCACTACAGTTTGGTTAACTTCAAATAGCCAGTTGGGATGAACCATTGGCCGAGTTGCTAACACGGTTCATACCGGATCATTTATAACCCGCCGCAGTCACCTCAACCTTCAGTGAATTCACATTGTGTTATCAACACCAATGATATAGATCTTATGCTATGGTCAAATCTGGAGAATCTCAAGACAACTCCTCGAGCCGTCTTAAGACTCGGGGGCTACGATGACATGACTCAGTAAATGATTGCTAGTTTAAAGCAGATTCAAGAACTCCGGGTCAGTGGAGGGAAGATAACCTGGCCCCGAAAGCTACTGCTATATTGATAAAAATTTAAAGGTCGTTAGAAAATTTCCTGCTCAAAATGAAGAATATCCGGTTTAAAATCCGGTTCAAGAGAAATATGTCTCTCACAAAGCATTGAAGCTCTCAATATCCGGTTTAAAGTCTGGCTCAAGGGAAATCTGTCTCTCACAAAGCTTTAAAGCTCTCAATATCCGGTTTGAAATTCTGGCTCAAAAAGAATTCATCTCTCGCAAGTTCGAGTTTGCCAAAGAGAACTTGCTGCCATGATGAGCGGTTCAAACATGGGCATCCTGCCTTATGGGCTTATCTTATTATGATCACTTGGGGGCTTCCTGCTCACTGAGCATAGCTATGACTACCCTTGTTAATCCGGTTTGTATGCCGGGAATGAAATATTACTTGGGGGCTCTTTATTCAACAGATAAGAGTTATTATGACCCTTGTAATAGGCTTGGAAGTCAGGTGTATTCACCTAAAAACCAGGGTTATCCTGACTTTTTATGTCTGCCACTCCGCCCAGATTGACTGGAATGACCAGCCGTAATTTTGACAGTCGATCTTATACAAGACCCTGAACTTGTCAAAGTTAAAACGACGATTAGTCATTTTGCATTGGCAAAAGTTTGACCAAGTATTATGATTGAGGTTTTTAAAGTCGCTTCAGCGCAATGGTTGTTGTTTCTTTATCAATGGATACGATTTATTCTGCAATGGAAGGAATAGTCCCGAGTCGCTACAGGCTTACGACCCGGCACTCGGGGGCTACATTATTCAGATTGATATTACATCAAACACGCAAGTCCCATGTCACTGCCAGCATGCGCCATGGCCCTTGGGGGCTAATGCAAGGTTATTTTTTACCTACCTTATTGAAGACCCGACTCATCACATCGCAATGAGCCCGCCCTTGGGTGCTACCAATTGCTCCTGTCAAAAATTCAAAGTACACAAGCCTTAATCCATTATATTGAAGGATATATTGCTCAGTTGGTAGAGCACAAGGCTCTTAACCTTATGGACGTGGGTTCGAGCCACATGGGGGTTCCATCATATGATGTTATTGTCAATGAAGTATATATAAAGTCTCATCTCAGTATTATCTTGCTGAGCCGGCCCTTGGGGGCTACACATTGTTGTTCAAGTCTACATGATCATATTTACAAAGTCCTTGCTCATTATTGCATAATGACCCGGCCCTTGGGGGCCACATTGGGTGAAGTTTTTATGAGCATAAGGTAATTACAAGCCCCAGCTTACTGCAAGCATGACAACCCGGCACTTGGGGGCTCCATATGTGGAATATTCAGTTTATGATTAGTGACTGAGATGGATTTCTGCAAGGTTGTGACATTTATATTGAAGCAAGTCTTAAGCTGTTACTAGGCTCCCTTCTTAAGACTTGGGGGTTACAGGTGATATGCATATAAGGAAGGTACACTTTCAAGCTTGGTGTTCGCAACAATTATGACTCGGTGCCATCAATATTTACAAACTGGCAATTTTGGCAATCATAACTCGGCGGACTCTACATCTTTGAACCGGCTGAAAGTCAGATGAGTATTTCAAAGACCAATATTTTTGTCAAGCTGGAGCATTGGAAGCCGAGTCAAATGGATTATTCTTTATAATATTTTCTCCGCAAGAAATCAATTTCAGCAAATTGATTATGAAGCTGGACTAAGAAGTGCCCGGATTTTTTGCATTGGCAAAAGTTTGACCATATCTGCTAAAGGAGATTTGCTATGAGATCATGAACACGCATCCAGGAGAAAATGATAAGGACTTAAGGATGAGCAGGTGCCGGCTCAAGAAAACATTTAAACCGAAGCACAACCTGTCAAATTTGTCCTTGTGTTTATTTTGCAGCATAAGTTTACCATGGATAAATCCAAGCTAAACTAGGGGCTAATGTTGGGGATATACCCTGCGGTGTAACCCACCGGATGTATGACCCGACTGGAGCTTGGCGACTCACTGGCGACCCGCTTGGACCTGGCGGTTTAGGGGCAATCCGTCTAAACATTGAGACTCACTGGTGACCCGGCGGGCGGGTCAAATAGATGACAAGGCCCAAGGCCCAGTAGGCCGGCTCATGCTATGGTGGGCCGGTACTGTGACAAACACGTATCATCACGGAAGTGTATTTTTTTTGTAGTACAAGGTTCCGCATGAAGTCCATTGCTGACATTGAGCGCATTTGGGATAAACTTTCCTGCGACTGCATGAATGTCGACGGTCTGAAAGTGATGCTTATGACGGTTAGGATTCATTTGGATGTCATGTCGGTCTTGTGGGGAGTGTATGACTACTTTTTTGAGTCTCGGGGACGCCCTCGGATAGGAGGAAGCCATGTTTGATGGCCTGCAAGTGCATAGGTTTAGTTGTAGCCTTTTCGTAGTAAGAGTTTCGATCCCATAAGGAGCACAGAAATTAGGCTTTGTCTCTTGTAAGAATTTATGGAATTGTGCATACAAGTCAGTGGTAGATCGAAAGGCAAAATGAAGGTGAAAATTTATAATGTTTTGAGCGATGAGTGACTGAAGCCAAAAAGTACAAAAGAAGTAAAAGCGCAACACAGAGTACATGAACTGTTGAAGACGACGATAGGACTAAAGCGTTCCCAGGGAGTCTGGAATACCCACTAGGTTGCTTCTAACATAACATATGAGATTGCATAGTTCTAAGTTCGATACTTGAGGCACACTTCACGTTTGTAATTGGGCGGAGCCAGGGAGAGATACGCGCTACATGAGTTAGTCTACGAACACGCACGCCACCACCGTAGTTTCCCCGCTCCTGTTTTCACTATATAGTGATTAAGGGTTTCCCAGTAGACTTGGTCGCCCTAAGGGTTATCCGTTATTCCCCTGTCAATTGCAGTGGTAGGAAAGAGAGGTACTATCATTGTCACCTCTTTACCCCTCATCAGTACCTTTACAATGACAGTAATATCCTCCATATATAGCCATACAACATAAAATGTGGAAATGGTGTGTGTGTGGTGGGGGGGGGTGCTCACAACATTCATGCAGGCTATGAACGCCGGTGACAAACATGAATGATAGATTGGAGTAATACACATAGGAATCCTCTTATTACAATGGAATGGGGATGGATGGCGGCGAGGATTATGGCAGGGATGGTTAATGCCGGCGTCTCCATGTACGAGGTGTTGGAGATGGCGATGCCCTCCTTGTCGATATCCCCTCCGTTAAGGATAACTCGGCAAAGGTTGCCCGCCGTCACATTGTTGTTGTCTGGTCCCGTTTGGGTCCCATCGGTCAGGTGTTTGCCAAGTTTATTTTGCATAGTGCTCGGCAAATGTTAGACTTTATCGAGTTTAATCTTACCGACGAGTTTGTTTTCCATGGCACTGGGAAATCCGCCTCAGTTGCCGAGTTTCTTGTCATTACCGAGTTTACTTAAGTTAGTACCCGGCAACCGTGTAGCAATGATGAGTACCCGATGAAAAGAACTCGGCAAACATCTAGAACTAGGTATCTTCAGCAATTCCAGTAGTGAATTATTGAGGCAGATTTTGCATAAAACAACTACTATCCCAGTTTGTGGCACAAAACACCACCTATTGGTGTAGTGTGTTGTAACTAGCTCTAATTCATCGTTTTGACTCCATTGACATGATTCTAAATGGGTGGGTCCCATTATAGGTGCACACATGTAAAAAAACGGCCACATCCGTTGGCCAAATAAAATCATCGGCATTGGTAGTTTTAGTGTTTCATTCAGTTTTTTGTCTTAAAATTCAAAAAAAATTTAAAACTCCAATAAATTATATATCTACCTAGTACTGATATGAAAAAAAAAATCAATTTACTTGGATATCAACTTAGATACATCAGTTTTGTTGGTTCATTAACATGTTGTTAAAATTCAACATTTTAGAAAATATAAAAAAGGTATATCATACATGTGACCACTGGTTTGGGAGATATTGGCCATTTTAGTTGGCTGACTGGTGTGACTTGTTTATGTTTGCCACGTATGCACTTACAAGCAGGACCCACCCACCTAGAATCATGTCAACAGGGTCAAATGATGGATTTGAGCTAGCTACAACATTTAAATGGAGTGAAATGATGGATTAGAGCTAGCTGCAATGGATTACAACAATTTGTGGTGTTTTGTGCAACAAACCCGAATAGTAGGTACTCCATGCAAAATCGACCTCAATAGATGGTTTGTGCAATTTCCTTGACTGTTGACAGAGAAATTTGGTAGTACAAAGACATTAAGAAGGAGAGGGACATTGAGAATCTTAGATTTTCTCCCATCAGTTGAAGGAAAACACAGATAATGAGTCAACAATGCCGTGTTTGAATTTGTTCCCTTTTGGAAGAATTTCAGATCTGCACCTCATAAGTCATAACTCTTGTCATTTGACCAGTTAGATTCTCACACTAGCATCCCCAAAATCTGTCTTGCTAGTCATACGATTTACAAATGTTTATTCAAGAATCCTACTAAATTGACAAAAATGTTTCTTGTTTCTCTGCCCTAACTACATACTTGGGGGTCAAGGCTATCTTGGTTCTAATTCTGTGATTGTCAAATTATTGAATGTTGGATTTGATTCGTTCAAGCCATCTAGTGGGTTATTTAGACCACCATGGGCATGGTTTTCATCATTCAACCTAAATAGAAAAGCAGGCCTAGAAGGAGCAGGCAAGGTAGTAGACTTTCCAACAAGCATCAGCATCACATTGGACATGCCGGGTCTATCACCTGGATTCTCTTGAACACATAATAGTCCAATATGTACACACTTGAGAACCTCATTTGGAGAACTGTTGTTGTATTGCAATGATGGGTCCAATATCTCAGCTTTTGTCCCCTTGGTCCAGTTCCCCCATACCTGTAAACAAGCAATGACTCATCAAAAAAGCTTACTATGTCGTAACATACTTTAAGACCAGGAAATGACTGAATATAATACTGACATAAGTTAAAAGATGCTCAGCCATCATTGTTTCCGAGGATACACTGTTTCTTCTCCCAGTCATTATTTCTAAAATAATCATTCCAAAGCTGAACACATCTGTTTTGGTTGAAACATGTCCAAGAACAGCATATTCTGGCGCCATATATCCACTGTACATTAGTAAATGGTTAAGCAATGCTTCTTTTGTGAACATGATAGTTACGAACTTACGATATATAAGATTAACCGAATCCATAGAGACTCACTAGGTTCCAGCTACTCTTCTTGTGATATGATTTGTATGATCACCCTCAAAAATACTTGCCAAACCAAAGTCAGAGATCTTTGGATTCATATCCATTTCTAGTAATATATTGCTCGGCTTCAGATCTCTATGTATAACTTTTATATGGGACTCATCATGTAGATACACCAAGCCTCGAGCAATACCACAAATGATCTTGTATCGCGTATCCCAAGCTAATTTTCCACGCTTTTCGTCATCTAAACAGGCATCATAAGCCAAATAAATCAGGGGAGACAGAACGTACATGAAAACATGCACACTGGGATAACTTTTGTGGTAGAGATGCATGTGAAAGAGAAAACTAGACATTTTGATTACTCTAACTAAGGTAACAAGTTCCCTTTTTATTCATTAATTATAACAGAATCATGGGTTTGGCGACTTCCTGCTCACGTAAATAAATAAAATCAATCATCGAGACTCCAAATTATATGTTTGTTCTACTGATATGCATGCAATGATTTGTTTAAATGATCTAAACCGATGTTTGTATTATCTTATTACCCCCATTGGATTTATATTTTAGTTCTAATTTATAGTAGCTACATGAAAAGCTTGATTTTATATTTTCTCAACCATTTTCATTATTTAAAGAACAATGTAGTGATGAAGTCAGTACAACTAGTATTTGTTAGTCCAAAGTTTGCTTGGAATAAGAAATTAAGTAGAAACTCCAGTACCAAAAATAAAGGCATCAAGACTTTTCTTTGGAATATACTCATACACAAGTAACTTGTCCTCTCCATTGAGGCAGGCGCCTATTAACTTCACCAGATTCCGATGCTGTAGCTTGGCAACTAATAATAGCTCATTTTTCTAGCTCACGAAGGCCTTGTTTTGATCCTTCCGATAATCGTTTTACTGCTATTTCCTGTCCATCTGGCATCATACCCTGAAAAGGCAGCAACTTAAATTAATATAACATCTTGAAATCCAACTATGATTGTAATCTAGTTTTACATGTACTCCCTCCATATTTACTTACAAGGCCACTTTGGAATATACATTGTGCAGCTATACAAGGCCACCAACAGTAACCGAGCCAAAATCAATGATATTTTCTCATACTATTAACTTGTTTAATACTTTCATGCATGCAGTCATAATGACACTCCTCCACTCAGTTTTCTTGCATGCATGTGGTGTATTAATGATCCCACTAAACGAAAAAAAAAGTTGGGTTATAAACATGTATTAAATTTTCCCCTGGTACCTGTAATTTTAGTTTGTAGTCTTGTATACAAAAATTGAGGGAGTACCTATTGTTTACGCTAGTATAAGAAGTGTAAGGTGAAACTAGCTTTGAAATAGGATTGAGAAGTCACAAAGTCAGAACCCAGTTAGTAGATAAATTTGGAATGGCTAAGATAAAGAAGAAAGCCCACACCACTCGAAGGTATAGAGCACATAAACTAAAAGTGGGATTAAAAATGGGTTTAATCTAAGGTAGCTAATCTGTAATGAGGGGGCAGCATCTCCGTCTGTCCCAAGAAGAGTCGACCCAACGCCTGAAACCTGAAGCTACGGGCAAGTATTCAGAGTTGAGAAAACAGAGCAAAAGCAGAGGAAGCGGGTCAGAGGTATGTATATGTCTCACTGCTCTCTGATAATTGCAGCTGGAGCATTGAGTATTCAGTCCAGGCCCTTGGCTCAAAAGACAGCATATTATCTCCCGTCACAACTCAACTACATGAGAAGATGGCACACAGATAATAATAAATTCCAACTGTCTTAAATCCTTCCAATGCTATCTTATCGACGTCGCTAGTAGAACTGAGGTAAAGTTAGGAAGGAGTAATATTCTTGAGGTAAATAAATCTACTGAGGTGATATTCGGAAGCGCCGGTGGATATAGTGTCTTTATAGCTAGAGGAGAAGTATGGCAGTGTGCCTTGGGGGTGGAGAATCAAAGCTGGGAAATTTTGATTCTTGGGTTGATCTAGAAACGAGGAAAAAGCTAGTTGAGGTGTGGAGTTTACTGGAGATGTTAGAAATTTGATTGATGTTGGAGTAGTTGCTCCAGTTTGGCCTATAATGAACCTGTAACATACATTGTGGTGTCCAATTCTAACGGTGGATTGGAATAGTACTCCCCCATCCCATAATATAAGAACGTTTTTTGCACTAGTATAGTGTCGAAAACATTTTTATATTATGGGACGGAGGGAGTAGATATTTACCCCGCAGCTACTAGCTACAGATCCAACACTCACATATCAAGCCGCGACGAGTGTCTCCACCCGTGCTCAGCCTCAGGGACTGGATGGCGCCGGCGCCGGCGCCATATATTTCCGGCATCTTTCTCCCACGCCAACTCCGCTCCGGAGAGCCGTGGCCCAGCGCCACGTGGGCTCGCGCAAATCGCCACATCGATCGGACGGCCACCAAAATTCGTCTGCGAT